CTTGCAATTCTGGTTATCTTTTTCATTCTTATCAATCATATTGTGTTTAGCTTGGTCGGCATTCCATCAGTTGAAGGCAGTCCGCACGATGGCGGGGTGAGAGGGGGGGGGGCGATTATCGCTAACTTTATTGGTGAAAGTAGCTTAGTGGGATGTGGCTAAACGCCTTCTCGCAGCTCTTCCAGCAGTGACGCTGACACGCCCGCCTCCAGCAATCATGTCCTTCTCCTTCACCCCCCCCCACCACCCATCGCTAAGATAAACTTTGATCGCTGCAGCCCCTACTGCACAAGCCGCTTGCGCGACGCCAATTCCAACGTCAACTTAGCTATTACGCCACATTTCGGATCTCCTGATCCATATCTTGCTTTGGTGGATAGAGCGATATCACACAGAACAAACCACACAGCATTTCCAGAGCCTCGTTTTGACTTGTAGAATTACCAACACGCAATGCCGCGCCGATTTCGCTAGAGAAGTATGTTCGTGTGGTCTCCCTTTGCTTTTACTGACGAAGTTCGCGGAGAGAAAGAATAAAGGGTAGGGTGACAATGACAGTAGCTGTGTTTTACTACTGAAATTGCACTATACACTATACTATTACATGAAATACTGATTTTTGACCGATTGACACATATCCTGTAGGGATACGCCGCGCATTCAATTTCAAGCAGAAATCGTAATGGTGCTGGGCCTTTACTTGTCCTTTCACAACAAGGAGGGTGGAAACGTTGCTTTGAAAAATTCCCCCGGTGGTTTCTTTTAAGGAGTTTTAGTTTAGTTTTCTTCGATTATTCAGAAGTGATGCTTGGTAGAGATACCACTTATAGGTAGAGCCGTTGTCACAGGACATGTCAGCGGGGCTTGGCTTTGGGTGCGGCCCCAGCCCGTTTTCCATTGATCGTTGCAGCTTCGACCGTTCAAAGAATGGTGGGAACGGGGCTGGCGACCCGCCAGCATAAGCTGATATCAAGATCGAACGCATTTTTTATTAACATTCTGAACTCGAGGGATAAAAAAATCGAGAAAGTTACGCGGGTCACCGCTGATAGAAAGTTGGAACCATTTACTGCAGGTGCACTGCAGAAAAGTATAGTTCTATCTGCAAGACAAGAAGTAAACGAATTCAGGATTATAGTAGGTGCTGGATCACACCATTTCAGCAGTGTGCCTCTACTCGTATTTTCTGTTTAAAAACAATGAATCAGTTTTGAATGAATCGTTTATCCTTCGAATAAATAGTTGAAAGGAATTTGCGAAATAAATATATAAATACATGCTGTACTCTTCAAAAGCTCAGTGCTTGGCAGCGCGCACGAAAGCAGATGAGCGAGGGGGGCATGGCATGTAGAGGATCTATTTCCTGGTGGTGCTTGTGCCTTCCTGGGTTGTCTTGCGACGACCATGCGTTTCGCTGGCTGTGCTGGTGCTACCAAGGCTGTCGTGGTGCCGGTGGCCCATCGTTCCCAAGTTATTTTCCTGATGTCCGTTTTGCTCTCTGCATTCCGGGAGCTCTGAGGGTGCTCATCTGTCCAGTCGCAACCGGGTTGTAATTGTGAAAGTGGTGCGCGACTTTTGTCGGCTGTCCAGTTGTTCCGTCGCCCTCCGGGGTTTCCTGTGGCTGCCAGCATATCCTGGGAGGTCCAGGGGTCTGGTGTCCATGTCTGACCAGGCTGTCCAGGCTTGAACCTGGTTTTCATTGGTCCTGGCCTCCAGGGTTTCCATCTGGTCCGGGTGGTCCTGCCGGTCCAGGTGGGCAAGTGATGCAACCAGTGGGCGGAGCAGGGCAGTTGATGGGTGCGTATGTGGTGGTGGAGTCCTGTCCAGGCTGACCAGGTGATCCAGGTTGTCCTAAAAAGTATATAATTGTCTGCATAAGTGAAAAATGTAAATTATGTAAATCATCCTATTATTTACATGAGTGATATGAAGAAACAGAAACTCACCAGGTTGTCCAGGCTGTCCGGGAGGTCCGGGAGGTCCAGGTGGGCAGTTGACGGTTGGAGGCGTGCACTGGCAGTATGAGGGAAGACCGGCTTGCCTCTTGCTACGGAAGATAGAGCCGAAGGGATTCTCACGTGGCTTGGTTGGAGGAGCAACGGTGACTTGGAAGTCCATCATCTGGCTCCAGGCGGAATCAGTCTCAACGCGGAACACGGACACGCCCTCGAGGACCTCATCGTGGATCTCGTTGATGGTGTTGTAGAGCGACGGAACCACAATCAGGCAGGCCAACAATGGCCAAGGTAGAGCAGCCCGAAGCCACGCCAACGATGAGCTTTTCCTCGAACATGTCGTGTTGTTCATTCGGTTGTCATGATCCCTTTTATAGTGTTTCGAAGTGTTGCGCAACTTATTGTTAGCGCGGACTGTAATTCCCTATTAACAGATGAATGTCCGCGATTTTCCCGCTATCATAATGACCCGACAATGAACATCGCGCTACATAGCTTCCTAAGCCGGTGTAACGGCTTAATTAGATCCATCATATGTTCAGCACATCGTTTCGGTACTTCCAAACAGAACTGATGCCAGAACGCTCCTGAGCAGCTGCCAAGCCATTGAAGCCCTTCGACGCTGTGATTATACTTCCCACCCCTTCTTGACGTTCTGAAAGTCTGGAGCTGGGAATATAAAAGATGTCTTTTCGCAGGAACGCACATTGGCTTAGAAACGAGCACGTATTTCAGGTTCAAATTCAGTTTTTCAAGATATGGACGAAGGCTGGTCGTTTCTGGCAGCTATTTGCTTTCTATTGCCGGCTTCTGCTCAAGGTGTGGTCGTTCTTCTAAGACTATATTTGGCGTGACTCCCACTAGCTTAGTACTTGTTTACGTGTTTGTTTGTAATTGCGGCCTACATATTTTTTCTGTTTCCA